CCTACCTCACCGATAATAGGAGAACTTCTCGGATGGCCGTCAGGAGAAGCACGTAGAATCCATCCCAGAAGCATCATGAGGATTCCAACGGTCAAAATTAGACATGCTCGATGGTCTCGGAGCTTAGTGTGGTGAATGTCGTGACCACCACTGCCTCAGGACCAAGAAAAATAGGCACTTTGGGACTTCAGGCTTCAAGATCTTGGCACTGGCACACTTTTGCCTTCGGAAGCAACGATCCGGCCATAGGCCATAAGCATGACAAGGACACCAGGCTTGATGCAGCAAGTCTTGAAGCAAGCAAATTGCACCTTCTTGCCACGGTGCTCAAACGCACGCCTCAAAGAGGGCTTGGAGAAGAAGAAGCAGACCACCAGTATCAAATCCCCATGTGCATCCAAGGTCTTTGCAAGGCAGGCTGTTGTCGCTGGCAATGCAGAGCCTGCAGTTCTTCACGACAAAGCTGTTCTGTTCACTGGCCGAAGCATTTGCCAAGTCGCCGCAGGCTCTCCGTGGGACTTGAAGTTGAAGCCGTTGAAGGATTGCGGCAACTGGCAAGAGATTTGCACTGGAAAGCTCCGGGCTCCAAGCCGCGGGCCCCGGCTTGTGGACTCGAGCCGCCACAACGGCCAGGGGCCGTTTGAACTGCCTCAGCGATGTTGAAAACTTCAGCGTGCTCGCCCGAATCTGCACAGATTCCTGTGGACCTCAGGGCAAGACTACCGAAAGTTTTGCTTGGTGATGAAGTCGCTCACAGGAACAAAAATGAGCCGCAATCTGGCTGGCCTCACTTCATTTGGCGGGCGCAGCTGCTGTTAGGAAGTGTATCCAAAGCTGGTCGAAGTGCACGTTTAATTACTGCTTACATCACTTGTCACCGACATAATCGTCATGTGTATCCGCTCAGAAACGAAGGTGGCGACTCAGTGTGACATGGTGGCACTCGCATGCCGAACATCGACACGCTCGGCTCAAGCCGTAGCCCCTCGTCTCAAGAGAGGAGTCCCTTCAAGTAGAGCCAGAGCAGACTGTGTAAAGCCTCTCTTCTAAGCTGTAGTTAACAAAGCTTTCGCAACAAGGTTCAGCGCGTTTCGCTTGCAATGTCCGAGATCAGAGCGTGAGTCCGCGTCAAACCGGGCAGGTTATGGTCGCCGAAAATAGCCGATTTATGCGTAACTTCGCAGGTGGTTCACTTGGGTTCGAGGTGTGGGTGCTCGGTGAGAAATATGGACGATTGAATGTGCATGCCGTGGCCGAGCCACTGCATAAACGGCTGGCCAAGTGTGGCTCCAAGAAGCAAAGACTGCACAGAGCTTTAGATTGGTTGTAGAGAAAGATCCTGTAGAGGCCCAGCATTGAATGCTCTCAGGGATTTTCCGCCTGTGGGTGTTGTAACTAACTCTTTTACTTTCTTATACTGACCCATGAGTCTACCTTGTCCCGTCTTAAGCCTTACGTGACTTAGTCAGTGCTGCTTTCACTTTGGGTGCAGTTTTCTTACAGGTGTGGCGAGAATGCTTTTTGGCTTGCCCTCATATCTGTTGTTCTGGCTGTGTCTCGCCGTTGTCATTGACATGGCCTGTTGACAGTGTTTACTTTTGCCGCCTCTGTGAGTTTCGTTTCTGGTTTGTGGGCCTGTTTCGGTTCAGGTTTCATGTCATTTTTGGTTTCCATGGGGTCTTCCGGATTATTGATTTCCCCAACGGCTACCATTTCAGTGTTTCTTCAGCCTTCTTCATGAATCATTCTACTTTCAACCCATATCTCCATTATGACTGAAGGAATCTTGTGCTCGTCTCTCGGTTGTACTGCTTGTACCCTTTTACATGTTTCCACCCGCCATTCTGATATGCTCATTCAACTGTACGAGTAGCACCTACTTGGCTAACATAAACTCATCTGTTTAGGCACTGCACCGCCGATGCAGTTGGTGATTAGTCTGGCATAACACTCACAAATTTTGTGGCTTTTCCCAGAGCAAGTAATTGTTAACGAACCCAATTCTGAGCGTAGCGATGTCAGAAACAGTCAGGCGATGGTACTTTGAGTCACTCTCAGCTTGTACACACTCATACACATCATCTTTTTTCTGCCTCTTCAGCATAAGCATACAGCAATGAGACTGTTGGTTTGTCCACTGTCTGCTGTTCTAACATATGTATGTATATGTACAGAATTGTGCATATATACTACAAGATGAAGATCTGGAGCTCTTCCCGTAAGAACCTACCATACACTCGGCTGCATGTCTGGTTGAAGAACATAATCGGTGTGTTTGCTTTTCCTCGGCAGTAGTAATGTCTTGTGATCGCGCTTCATGTCGTCGCAATGCTTCCACTGGCTTCCACTGCTCTCGCACATCGAACACGGTGAAGGCCTCCCTGACACGAACTTCCTCTGTGTGTTCTGGCATGAATCACATCGTGTCATCTTTTTTGCATGGGCGGGCTGTATTGGAAGCAGGATGACGTTTTGTCTCTTTATCTCACCAACTGGGTTTATCTTTCCACACTCTCTTCAGTAGTGGATTAAGCTGGAACTTACGGAACATACTGTGCTTTACATACTGTGTTTTAGGCATATTGCTACAAATCTGCTCAGTCCCCACTAAATTTTGTGATGGAGTTGTTTACTGGATCTGCATCTTAGCCCTGTGGCTCTCCGCTTTATCCTGTAGACTGGAGACCTGACACCGTTTCTGCGCGGAATTCAACTTGCGGTTCAACTCCTAACTGCATACGGAAGTGGTGACCGGCTGCGGCTAGGTCATATCCACTGTATATCAAAATGCTTTCGGCTTCGCTCGTTCGCGTATACGGCTTCATCATCGAAGTTCACAATGCCGTCTTGGACTGCAGTGGATACCTTTAGGATTGTGGATGAAGGCGCGGCAAGTAGCAAAAATCTATTGAGGGAGCAGTAGGGCGAAGTGTGGGACTGACCGGTGAATGGATAGGTCAGTGGTAGGCTGGTGGTTCTGTTACCCAAAAACGGGAAGAAACGACCAGCAATGCATGAAGAGGCTCGATCAGAAAGTGATAAGCTACGGGCTGTCACGCATTGTCGTCAGGGTCGAACGGGGGAGTGTTTAAAGTTTCTTTGCATTGGGCGATATGCAGGCCTGTCGTCGGAGAAGGAGAGTGGTTCTTCGTTCAAACACCGCGGGAATGTGTGCCTCGAGTGACTCTCAGCCTTTGCACTAAGAGTATAGGCCATGCCCGAGTGACTGCTGCGAGGGAAGGACCAGTGACAGAACTTCCTTCCTTCCTGCCTTCCGACGGGTTCGGGCTAGCGTCGCTAATCCGTGCCTAGAGTCTTTGGGGTTGTCTAGGACGGATTTCGCCCCTCGTTCGGTTTGACTGGGAGGGTAAGGTTGCTGCCAAAGCCCCCCGCAAAACCCCTAAAATCCTGGCCTCATCACCGCTCCCTCTAAGTAGTACCTGCAGCAACCTCCCCCGGTATTGTAGTATACTCTCGCTCGCTCTCTGTCTGTCTGTCTGTCTAATCAGATATAGACATAGATACAGGATTCTGCTCTAAGCACTATCTATCTGCCTTCTAGCTCATCTAGCTGCTAGCTGCGCATCCGTCTATCCACTCATATCTCTCTAGCGATTTCATCAATCCGTTCGGACATCTATCCATCCATGCATCTGTGTACTCGTTTACAATTTACAAACTGTCATGGATGAATTTTTTTTGCATGCCGAGAGTCGGATGCAAAGGACGGAAGAAACACGTGTAAAGAGTAATCAGGCTCCATCCGACGACCGGTGTCGGGACAGTCGTGCTGTTGCAACTCGCTATGCACGACGATGCATTGGATGAAGCGAAAGTTGTATGCTGTTGCACTCTGATGCTCACCTCGCAGAGACGCATCTGAAAATGTCATCGCATATCATCACTGAACATCCCAGGCTGCTGGTGTGCACGGGGAACGCGAAGGGCCAGGAGCAGAAGAACGGAGCAACATTGCACGGCAGAGACGCTCACGGACCTCTGCTCCTATGCTGTGTTTCCCTTGTCGCTTGGTTCACGGCAACTTTGAGATTGTTGAGGCTTCGTGTCAAGATGACACTTAGGGGGGCCGCTTTGCAGCGCCAACTGCATGCTCTGCGAGTCGGCTGCAACTACGAAACAGGCATCCACTCGGTTGGAAAGAAACCATGCCTTGGTGGTGCCTTCTTGTCTTGCAACATACCTAGGGACCTAGAGAACACCTGCCAGTCTGGTCACAAGCTGTCACATAAGTGAAAGACAAGTTGTGCGGCATCCGGCACACCAAGTGAAGAAGCCACCTGACTGTGTTTGAGCGCCGGTAGCTGTAGCGCTTTCACAGCTGTCATGAGACTGGAATCCAACAAGGCGCCACTTCAGGCCTGCAGGCTGCGAACTAGTGCTCGTTGACGGTCCGACGAAAGCAGGTCCTGGGCAGTCGATTTGAACACACAGTTGATGCAAGTGCAGTACAAGCAGCCAGCCTATCCCGCCTCAGAGGCTTTGTCGCTAAAAGACGCGGCTGCTCAGAGAACAAGCCGGGCAAGCAAATGATCGTCGGAGCCAGCTGTCGCAGAGAACTGAGAACGCGGCCACTTCCTCTTGCCTCGATCAATCCCACTTCCGAAGACTTCCAAGACCCTCCAAAGCTCTTCACGTCGACCAGGCACAAGACTTGGCAGATGCTGGGCTCGAGCCCTCGGCGTCACATCCAGAACGGATGAAGAAGGACCATCATGCGAGGATGTATCGAGTCTAGCAAACCGCGCACATCCAACAATTACGAAAGTTCTGGGCAACGCAACAGGGCCTAAGCACCCAGCAAAGTTGAGGCCTCTCTCTCGGCCGACAGCTTGTCGCAATTCCTGATTCACATTTAGGTGGCCGTTGAGATGCAATGTGATGACAGCCCTGCAAGTGGACTATGGATTCATTGAGTCACCAGAGGCAGCACACCGCCATGAAAAGAAACGGCAGCAATGACAGGCAGATTGGTCGGCGGCGAAGGCGAAGAGGAAGGCAGACAAAGGAAGTCTAAGGTTAGGGTGAGAGCTCCCTAGTGGGCGTTCCAGATGCACTGCACGATTCATTGGCCCCTCTGGAGTTTTGCGACTCCATGGCGAGTGGCAAAGCGAGTTGCTGAGACAGGCGGCGAACTTGCTCTCAAAATCAGCACAAGCGCCGTGTGCCACCATCGACATCTTCTTTCCTGGAAAATCCTGGAAACTTCCATGCAAACGTGCCATCGCCGTGGGTTCCAAAGCCCTCTTCCTCGTGCGCGCACCAGACTTCTGTTCTACCTAATGAAGCCTGAGAAAGAAGCTATATGCCCAGCCCCAAAGATTCAAGACGACTTTGTATGTGACTGTGCTACTACCCGACCTGGCCAGGAAATCAACTCAGTGAACAAAACCACTGTCAAGCATTGTTAACCCTCCACCCAAGATTGTTGCGTGCATGTCTGTGTGGCCAGCATGTTCCTTGATTCCTCGTTTGCACTCTCTGCCTTCTGTCCTGTTCTGAAGAATGAAACAAGGATCTGCCTGCTGAAGCAGAGGACTGAGTGTTGGATGCACGTGATGAAAGCTCTACTCAAGTGTAAAGCTGAAATGCCTTGCAAGCTCTCGACTGTGTACCAGACTCCCACGAGACAGAGCCTCCCGCATTTAATCCATGTTCTCGACTCCAGATCATGAAAAGACGGATGCCAGGAAGAACCTGATGCGTGTCAGGACAGGCTCAGCCCGTGTAAGACTGCCATGGCAGCTTAGTTCGAATATAGGCGATTACACAAGTCTTGGCCTCGTGGCGGCTCACCGATGCCTCCGGCCGCGCAGAGCGCGACTGCTGCTTCCAGAAACAAGAACGGCTGAGTTGCAGACACAATGATGCAAAGATGAACGCAGCGTGGCCTTTCAGTGCCAGTCAGTCGAAGACTTTAACTTCAGCGTGACTCTAAAGCTGGCATCCATTGGCATCCCCAAAGCTACATGGACAGAGCTGTGTTTCTCACCTGAACCGCAGCATGCTGGTCCGGGTGCTGCAAGAGCCGAAGCAGCGCGGCCTTGGCCATAAATAAACACACCTCCAAACAGTCCCCCAGTATCCCCCAGTTCTGCCTCCCTGGATGTACCTTTGGGCACCCGGCTGCTAAAAGTTTCAGCTGAACTGCAAGAACCTTAACCAGACCGACGAGGGAGTCGAGTCGATGCTGAGAGCTTCTCCGATGCCTCCAAGCTCTGGCCCCAGCGCACCAAGGCCTTCTTTTCAGGTGCCTTCCATGCCTGCAGATGCTGTGAAAGTCTGTTTTGACCGAAGTACCACTACCGCGTAAGTCGGAGAAGAGCAGCCTCCGCATCCGCGTCAGGACGCGCTGGTGATGTCCATGCCTACCGCCGTTCTGATGAACTTCAGTATGAGGAGAAGGTCTTTGCAAGTGAAAGGCATGCGGCACCCATCTGGTACGGCCCCCGTTCTTTGGCAAAGCCATCCTGCATGTCAAGAGCATACAGAGCAGGATGGTGTTCATTGTCGACGTGGCTCAGATGATGGCGGAGAGCTTGGCGATACACAGCCAGAATTGCCAGAATCCATTGCTCTGACGAAGTTGTCTTAGGAATACTTTGCGGATCTTATGCCAAATATTTGCTACTCTTGAAATTCTTGAAGCCGTCCAGAAGATGTTTCCACCCGGCTTTGGAAAGCGATTAGAACCTTGCCGAGCATTTCTCCATTTGCCTTTTGTGAGCGGGGCATCTGAACTAGCAACTAGGAGCTACTAGTAGCATGGAGGTGATGGGGATGCTGGATTTAAGTCACAAGCCGTCATAAACCCAACTTGACAGCATCTTGAGCAGGCATTCCCTCAGAGCCGTTCAAGCGTCACATTCAATTGGGGATTTCGGCTGTCTCTCAAATTTCTTCCTTTTCTGTCTCGTCGGTATCGTCAATGTGACAGAGTGTGCTTGGATCACTGTCACTACCGGAGTAGTCAGGCATGCAGTTCCGGCGGGCCTCAGGGACTTCGCTACAACAATGTTACAACAGCAACAGCAGCAGCAGCAGCAGCAGCCGGCTCAAATTATCATGACTCGCTTGCTCGCTTGCTTGCTTCGAGCTTTGTCTCACCCAAGTTATTTCCTCTCTTGTTCTTTTTCTCGGGGCCGAAAGACGGTCAGTCTCTCTTCTTCCGCTTGTGTCTGCTCCATCTCTTGCTTTGTTCTCCCTTGCTATGAAGTTCGGCCTTCTTCCCGAATCTGACTGTGTCGTCCGGTTACAGTTCGATCCACGAGCCTAGGCCTAGCACAACCATGTCTGTGTGAGCTCACCTACAGCTCGTCAGACGTGAGACAAGCACACAAGCATCGTAACGACGACTGACTGGGACATACCACATAGGCCGGTCAGCAGATGTTAGCGTCTTGCTTTCCATTCTCGAAGGCTTGCCGCAACATGTCTCAACTTAATTAATTAGTGGCCAAGCAAACTAGGTTTTCAACCAAGCTGTTCCGACATGAGACGGGCACGGAATCCCAAAAATGCTGCACAGCGGCATGGTCTACTGATCTACCGCATAGCTTTTTCACCACTCTCTGCTCTTGCGCATCGCCGGGTGTGAAAGGGTAGCCGAGGCTGCCAGAAAGGCTGGCGCATGCTGACCGGAGCCTGAAACCAAGCACAGGTGCATGCACTCCCACTCACTCGCTCACTCACACACGCGCATATGTATATATATATATATATACAATTTTTATTTTATGTATTTATGTATGTATTCTTTACGTATGTATGTATGTATGTATGTATGTATGTATGTATGTATGTATGTGTGTATGTATGTATATGTATGTATGTATGTATGTATGTATGTATGTATGTATGCATGTATGTGTTTATTGATTTATCTACACACACACACACACGCACACGCACAATGTCGTAATGTCTGTGTGCAGAAGTCTGACACAACAGAAGGTACAGCAGCTCCGGCTGCTAAGTGCTGCGGACACACCACTGTGTACTTGTCGCAACCATCACATTCTGACATGTTGTCGGTGGCACATGATGTCATGGAATGGTGAGGCCGCAGAACAGCTCAACACTCTCTTGTTACTTCGCCATCTAAGTTGTCCTCACCGGTACGCACTTCCATACGTAAAGGGCACCACAACAGGCCACCGGCAGTCAGAAGGCAGAAACCCCTCGGCAAACGTAATTCAGCGCACGCATGTGCCCTGCAACCCTAGAGGTCGAAAGCTCTGACGAGAGCAGACTCAAACGGCCTGGAACTGATGGAGCTGTACTGGGCGGCATTGCCTGGAGCAGATTGTGATTGGCATGTTACAGTTTCGAGGTCAATCATTCTAAGTGCTCCGCATCCCAAGCATTGAGAGGCCTAGCGGATTGCAGCTGTGCTTGATTGCGTGATGTGAGTGCGGGCGTGGGGGTAAGAACAAGCGGAGTGAGGGTGCAGAGCGGGCAAATATGGGCAAATAGCTCAATGATTTCTCCAACAAAGGAGCTGCAGCTGCGTTTCCTGGCATCTTTAGCCCCTGGCACGCCTTCTAGGCCCTATGCTCAGCAGCACTTATGCACGAAAGCTCCAGCTGAGAGCTTTCGCTTCGAACACTTCGGGCCTTTGCTCGCCAGAATGCCGAGGGCACGACTCCCCCAACCGCGCAATTGGTTGTGCTGCGAGAGCGAGTTGCTGTTGCTGCCTGTCAGCTCCCGCAACATCGAGTGCGGAGCAGTCTATGTCAGCACAGCACTTCAAGCCTTGCACGTCCTGGGGGGTCCCCAGTCGCATGCACTTCGCTCGGGACCTGTCATAAATCTCGGACATACTCGGACATCTGCGTTGATGTACTTCTGGCATCTTGGGGCTATCAAGTGGATGCTGCCGGGCGCACGCCAGCAGTCCAGCGACAGCAAGTCTGCACCTCAGACTGTGAGACTCGTAGGTCGCGAAGAGCGTCTCGACAAGCTCATGTTCTGAGTTTTGTGCAGTCCATAAAGCCGCCGCCTCAGATTCCTGGCTTTGTGCAATTTCCACGAAAAGCAGCTGCCATGTCGGGATCGGCTGGCAAATGCCGACTAGCTGCGATTGTCTGTTTCTGTAGCTCCTCCGTTGGCTCAACGGACGCTTGTGGTATAGAATCACGCAATGAAGTCTTTCAAGGAGGTGAGTCTTCTAGAATGCGGCCCATCGCAGAAGCGTCTTTGCGCGTCGGACTGAGAAAGCACGGCAGTAACACAGAAAAACAGAAGAACCGCAAGCCAGCGTTCATTTGCCAATGTTAGGCTCACTCCACTTCGCATGCTTGGATAGGCTTGGATGCAGTGCGTGCGGAGATTGATGCAATGGAGCGCTTGATTTCCGAAAGGATTCTGACCACAACAGCTTTCGGAACAAACCGGCGGCTGGCCCTACTGGTCGAACTTGAGAACGAATGTGAGATGGCATGTGGGCATCAAGCAAAGACACCTTCAGTGAGACTTGATCTGCAGCTGGTCCTACGAATTTCGCTTCGTACTGGGCATCATACTGGGGGCAGCAGAACATGTGCAGCGTTCGCATGTTGTGGCATCGAACACTGATGCCACAGCAGAGCTCCAAGAAGACTGTGCACCAGTGAGCCCACATTGCTCCAGATGTCGCAGCAGCAGCGGCGGCAGCAGCGGCGCGGCAGAGGCAGCGGCAGCGGCAGTGGCAGTGTGGCAGTAACAGTAGTAGTAGTAGTCGTCGTCGTCGTCGTCGTCGGCGTAGTCGTAGTGGTCGTAGTGGTCGTAGTAGTCGTAGTAGTAGTAGTAGTAGTAGTAGTAGCAGTAGTAGCAGTAGTAGTGAAAGTAGTAGTAGTAGTAGTAGTAGTAGTAGTAGTAGTGGTAGTGGTAGTAGTAGTCGCAGCAGNNCAGTTGGAGTCGTAGTAGTAGTAGTAGTAGTAGTAGTAGTAGTCGTAGTCGTAGAAGTAGCAGTCGTCGTCGTAGTAGTAGTAGTAGTAGTCGTCGTCGTCGTCGTCGTAGTGTAGTAGTAGCAGTAGTCGTAGTAGTAGCAGAAGTCGGAGCCGTAGTAGTAGGAGCAGGAGTAGTAGCAGTAGCAGAAGCAGTCCATACAGCGGTCGTACCAATAGCATTACGTGTAGTGCTATCTGAGATGATTTGAGGATCTCTTCTGCAAGTCGACTGCACTGCGCTGAAGCTTGGACATGCGCATCCGCACCTCCGTTGATGCTGGCAAGCCCATCTGAGAGTCAGGTGGCAGCGAGAGAACTCGGGAGACCTCGGCATCTACCCCAGCACCCTGACCCTGCTCCCCCGCTCCCCACTCCCACACACCCATCCACACACCCATCCACGCACACACACACACACGCATACTCGGGCGCACACGCACACACACACATGCAAGCTGATCATCATGGTCGACATAATATAGAGATGCTGATGATGATGATGATGATGATGACAACGACAAAAATGAGATTGGTGGCTTTGGTCCATGTATGCCAGACACAAGGAATGGCATACAAAACAAAATTCGAGATGAACCAGAAGGGTAGATGTGACACTGCGCCAGACTACACGCAACGCCTTACCCCGTCACCCTGCAGACAAACATGAACTTGGGACTGACCCTGTGCATCCATGTTCGAAGATGGCACACACACGCACACACGGACACTCACTCACCAGAGCTACATGCTTGAGTCCACGATCGGCGCGCCCCCCCCCCCCACCCCCACCCAACGTGCCGTTGCGCATAGATGGTTGTCAAGGATTTCTCCATGACAGAGATCGTCATCGCTCGCTGCTCGTGACGGGGTGCATGGCTCCGGCTGTGGATTAAAACTCTCTAGCTTCATGAGGCTTCATGTAGCTTCGCCAATATCAACAATGACGGCTGTCATAGTCCAACAGCAAAGCAAGCCTTCAACAGCTTCCACCGTCACCCTTCTGCGTGCACAGGCAGTCGCTGGGACAGCTCACTCGGCGCATGCTTGACCTCATCACGCCGCTGGGACATCCTCAACACGAACTTGGGCAACGCGAACGAATGGTAGTGCCACTCATCTCCAGAAAACTACAGTCCAGGTCGGGATGCTTCGATCTTTTCGCCCAGCTCCACGTCTTCCAAGCAGAGACGCCGACAATCGCAGACACGCGTACGATTTCGACTGCTGGCTGCTACCTGCTCCCAGGGGTCAGAGGTCGAAGAGCGAAAGGAAGCCTATGGTGCTCTGATCCAGCTCCGCCCACGAGAAACGTGTCACCCCCTTCAGAAACGTGTCACAGCCCCCGCTGCTCTCAGACCGCTCTCAGACTGCTGGCTGCGTTGCTCTGCGTTGCTCTGCATGTTGGTGCCGGGCCAAGCGAAAGGCGTCGAAGGACTTCGCAGCGGTGCGTTTGCTGCGTAGACTCTGGCGAAAATCAGTGCGGCACTGCCAAGCTTCACTACCGCACCAAGCAAGAGTTCCGGCGGCGCAGCTTTGCGACAAAACGCACGCATAGACTCCGTTCTCTGACAGAACTTCCTCTGCCTAAACACATGGGCAAAGCACAAGAACAGGCAAGAACAAAGCCTGGTTCGACTGCTGCCTTCATACAGTAGTTGGTGTTTATTGTTCACCTTCGTTGTTTGGTTGTTGTTTACCTCCCTGCTGTCCCTGGATATTTGTCTCTGTTTGGCGGTCCCTTGTCGCCTCGTCGCTTTTTGGCCTTCTTGCGGTCAGTCGTCTTTCCTTTGTGCTTTTGAGACAGTCTGCTGGCATCAAGATGTTGTGGACCTGACCCTGGGCTGCACAAGCATCGAAAACAAGTTGCTGTCCCAGGTGACCAAGATGCAGCTTAACGGGCTTAGTGCAAGGACTACTGGCCGAGAGTGCTTAAAGACTCGGGGCCCCACAAGTTCTCGAAGGGAAGCAACGTGCTTGAGAACCTCCAGCGCAGCGGAAGGCTTAGCCTGAAACCCTTTCTTCAAGGAATTTATTTCGGCAAGAGAAAGGCACCTGGTTCAAGTCTGGAAGTGTTTGCCCGCGCGCCTTCGTCAGCTCACATCTGAAAATCTGAAACCAACTGGGTAAGTCTTGCCCTTTCGACGGTGCACTATGGCATGACTCTTCACCGTCGCAAGTCTGTGACACTGCAAAACACGTTGAATCCTCATCATCATGATGGGCAAAATGGGCAATCCGTTGAAGAAGGCGTGACAACTCCGATACCTCGACTGCACATCTGGGAAACAGAAACGACCCAAGTCAGGCCCACCCAAAGGACCAGACTCGCTCCGAGGCTCCGCCGGCATCCACAGGTCGCTGTACCCGAAGAAGACTGGCGCAACGGGCCGCGCAAAGCTACATAAGCTGCGACATCAGACCAAGATCACTACAAGCGATTACTCGCTTGCTGCATCTTGACCAACTCAGCCCGTCCTGGGTGTAATGACTCTGCTTACAAGCAGTGTCCCGACAGCATTTTGCGCCGCCAAAATCCCGAACTTCACCTGCAAACCATGTCGATCTCAAGTCCTAACCGTTCAGCTATCGGGTATTTGCAAAGGTCGTCCCTCGCCTCGGCTGCAGCGTAGATCAGATGGCAAACAGATGCAAGCGATGGATGAACCAAAGCCTGGACGAAGGGCATCAATTGGCTACCGCAAGAATGTGCCGGTGGCTCGTCGACCAAAGGCCGGCAATGGTGCAAGACTCACTGCCACAGCTGCAGCACCACGGCATACTGGGCCTGTCCAACTCGCAGGCTGTGGATCATGCTCTTCAGGAAGCTCTCCACTGCCACATGCCTCTGGGAGAAGTGCTACAGCAACGTACACTCTAAAGCAGGACCACTGCCTGGACTACTATTACCGAGCTTCTGCACTTTTGTCAAGTTACATGACAGCTTGTGTTCCATTTGACCCCCACCCCACTTCAAGAACGTGAGCCCAGTTCTTGCTTGGTCTTAGCCCTCAGGCAGAGGGATGAGAACGAATTTGCGGTTCGTTCCCAAAGTGCAGGTGGCCAGTGGATGTCGAGTAAGTCAAACCGGCAAGCCAAGTTGGGCAGGCTATGCAGGCTCTTGGGACGGCGCCATCATGTCATCTGCGTCTATGTCTGTTCAAGCCATCCCCTTGGGACCCGTTTCAACAGTCTTGATCCTTTTGCGTCTGGCTAGCCAGTACGAGTTTTCGTTGCTTCAAGCCAAGATGCATGGAGGAAGACGTCCCCGAGGATGTGGGTGAAGGCTTCATGGCCTCCACCTCCTGACACATTTCGATCTTGAACTGAAACCTCTGGTCTATGCCACGAGAGTCCATCTCCACATTGACCCGCCCAGAACATGGTCTGCAGTGCCCTTGCCCTTGGAGCCTTCACGAGCATGGATGTCTCCTTCTCCATGAAGGAACTGCGCAGGGAATTGTCAACTTTGCATCGCACTGCGGCCCGGGTCGAAAACATCCCCATGTGCGAAAACATGGACAGCAAAAGACTGTACCACTTCGTCCTTCCCTTTTCTCCGCAGCTTCTAGCTGGGCGGGGGAGCCCTTGGACCAACGCCATTCGCCTGCCCATGAACCCTGTCGGCCCTTTCGAGCATAGGGAGCTTTAACAAGAAACGTACTCGCGACAGCCTGAATCTGCATCATTTTGGCAAAGGCATGATAGTCCTCAGCACTCAGTGCTAACATGTCACCAGTCAGCATCTCGACTGTAGTCTCAGGCCACGACAGTTTTGTCAAGAAGGCTTTTGAATGGCTTCCACTCGGCATGCCCTGCTTCCTGACACATCTCACGCTGACCGTGTGGAAACACAACCTGCTTGACTGTTGGAAATTAATTGATTGAAATTGGAATCTGATGTTGCTTCCACTGGGCCTGAACGGAAGCCAAAGCAGCCAGAAAGTCTGCTTCACTGGCACCCTGAAACTGCAGGAAAGCCTCGCGCTGACCGCAACTCAGTCTACAAGTGCCAGCTGTGCCGCGATGCTCTTCTCTACCATGTCTACCTCCACGTGACGATCCAACAGTGAGATGAAGTCGTGGTGCACCACCGTGTACCTGCTCTTCGTGTTTTCGACTAAAAGCTGGAAGCTCAAACATGCAGTCATTCAGCAGCTGACTCCAGTCTATGCTCATCGCCTTGAAATACGATCGGCATGCAGATTACAACAATCACAATTGGAACCGTTGCAACAGGCATCACCTCTGGTCTTTGGCCCGAGTGCGGCACAGTCCGCAAGCTCCGCGAACTGCATGCAGTGCTCAGCGATGAAGGCCTACACTTTACATCAGACCACATGCCCTGTGACCCGAGAAGCATCGCACACGAACAAGGTCTGTCATGGTCCGCTTCTAGGAGAGCCTTTAAAGATCTGTAGTTTCTGTCCCATGCGAGAGGGTCTGTGCAGCGTAACGCAATGATGCTGATGCCAGGTGCGCCAGGCTTATGTGCACACGCTCGGGCAAGAGGAGTCTCATGGACACCAGCCGCGTTCCGTGGGTCTTGCACATATGAGGCCAAGAGCACCTGCTCACATGGGATGCTGAAGACAGCGCCATGCTACGCATCACCACTTTTGTGCGCCCCGTAGCCCGATAAAACCACAGACTGCTACCCCTTTGCATTGCAATGTCGCGTTGTCGCTCAAGGCCACCGTCGGCAGCCGCGACTCGATGCAGCTCCCGCTCGAGCTGAAGTGGCCAAATGCGACTTTCACTGCCCGGGACAGTGGAACTGCTTTGATGAGGTCATGCCACCGATCAACACCCCCTAGTCACAAGCTCGCTGAAACACCAAATCACGCGCAATCCAGGTCACAGGAAAAGTTTCAGGGTCAGCTTGTGGCCATCATCTTCGGCTATTGGAACCTAAAGACTGTGTTTTTTTGCTTACGGTCGGCTGGCAACAGCTAGAACATGGGAGAAAGACCTGAATGAGTCCTTTGCTCTCACGTTCACAGACACACCCGGAAACACAGCAAAGTCCGGTTTTACTGTGGCGTACCTCCATAGACTCTAGACATCTCTTGACCATCAGACCCGGAGCCTGGAATTTGCAGCCCTAATTGTGATAAGATGGAACAAGCTGGCCCAGGCTTGATACCCTCAACGTAGCCCAAAGAAGCATGCAGCAATGTGGGTCCTGAGACCCGGCAAAATCTAGCAGCTGATTTTTCTGAGTGGAGCAAACATATGACAATATCTAGCTATTTCTAGCTGCCGCGTTCGTGTTTCGGCTACGGGATAACAAACGAGATTCTGCACTGGCATTGAGTCAAGCCTGGACTGACTCCATAACGTGCGGGCACTTCTTCACGTACTGAAGAAAGGCCGCCGAAAGCTCGAGAGCCCTGGCCTTTTTGCAGGCATTCGTATGAGCATCGCGACAAGTGACCGTAACACGTTGCTGCCGATGTTCATGAAGCTCAAAGAAGCGGGATAATTTCTTCTAGCATGGTGCCTCGTCGTGTGCATCGACTTCTGCCATGGCACAGCCTAGTTCCTCTCGATTTCGAGAGCAGTGCAAACTATTCTTGTCTGGTGCTGAGACGCGCTGCGTCAGTCTTGGGTGCAACCACACGGTGCACAGGGTTGATGAGTTCGGCGTGGAACAACAGGTTGTAAATCGGGTTGGGCAGTTGCTCCTTATAGAGCTGCGACAGAGCTGAAAAGGATGATTCGCAGCGATGTGAGTGAGCTACGGGGCCGCCATGTGTCTGCATGACAGCTTTGAGCCACAAGTGCATGATACCCAACTCTCAAACACAGCAAATTGCGGTCAACTCTTAGCTCGAGAGAGCGCACCTGCCACTGAGCCTCATGAGAGCCTGGACCTGGAATCACACTGTCTGGTCCGTCTGGTATCCTTCACGAATCTCAAACTTGCCAGACTTGCCAAGGCCGTATGCAGACCGTTGGCCGACACCAGCAGCGATGGAACTTGAGTCCGTTGCACCTGCCGATGCGAAGACGATGCACACTCAGAAATTGCAACCCCTCATCTGGGTCACGCACATCATCCTCGACAACAGCCCTGTGCAGAAGACAGGCGCGAAAGCATGCCAGTGCAATTCCACCGCGTCGGGTCTTGCGCCTTGCGAGCTGCCCCGCCGTGTCGCCAATCGGGGCTGCCTGTCAAGAACGGTATGCTCTGTGATTCTGGATGATTCTGGGCGGGCAAAGATTCAAAACACAGCAACTTGTGCGCACCACTCGGAGCGCTCTCAACAGCAGCTCTTGTCGCTCGCCGCCTTCATGGGCAGGAGGAGGTTGGGTTGTAACCACGCCGGGCAGGAGCTGCTCGGAAGGAAGTATGACATAAAACGCGGCTAGGCTAACATGTCTGCACGAAAGTCTTGAAGGCTCTGATAGTGGGCACTCCAGCCACGATCGTTTCGTGCTGGGTTTTAGGCGCAGGGGGCAGCTGGTGTGCGATACTTGCAAGATGAGGTTTCTCCACAACTTGAACGGTTGTCTTCAAGGTGGCGGCTTCCGTAAGTTTGCTTGTACTGCGGTATGTCGGCGGAGGGATATTTTTCCTACAAACCGTTCAAATGAATTTACATATGGCCTCGTTGCTCAGTTGCTTGTGCGTGTGCATTGACGCCATCACTCCCTACATTCACATGCTCTGCTAATGATCGCTGCTACCCGAGTGGCTGCATGAGCGTGGAAACTAAGGCAACGCAGGGGACAGGGGGGGGCCAGGATTGTTGGTGAATTGTTCGATGTTTTTCTCTTGTTTTTTGTGGAATTCGGTTCGATCCATACACAGAAATTGCAAGAGATGGCGCGGATGGCGACAAACTGAGGCTGTAAGCGAGGTCTGTCCTGGTGTAATTTTTATGTTTTTCGGCCTGCTGGTCTTTGGCCCTCGATCGGTGACTCAGTCCGGCCCCGCCAGTCTACCCAGTTGCCTTCCGTGCCAGTTCGCGCTCTGGGCGTCTCGGCTTTATGGCTTTGCGCTCTTGACGGCACGATGCTCTCTAAAGCGTGCGCGTACGGTCCAAACAGAAGGCCGGGGGGGGTGGGGTTGGGCCTCTAGGACGGGCAGTGAAAGGCCTCAAGCGAGTTATGTGCTTGACTCGAAATCGCAAACGGCCAAATCGAGTTCTTGACAGTACGATGTTCACTACAGCACGTTCACAGGGCTTAAGAAAGTGGGGGGGTTGGGCGGGGCGCAGCCCCCCTTGTGCAAATGCAATGTCCAGGGGACTGGCGGTTCATCACATCTTGAACACGCTCCGGCGTTTGACGATTCGGTTCAACATATGTCTTAAACACGACCCCTCACTTGCCGATATCGGCTCATCTTACATGTCAAACACGCGCCCTTGTTTGGCGATAACGGTTCATCATACATCTTGAACATGCACCACATTTGGCGACGACGGTTCATCATATATCTTAAAAACACGCGCCCTCATTTGGCGACTCCGGACCATCATATTATATCCTAAACACGCACTCTCATTTGGCGGTTCTGGTTCATCATATATCTTAAACACGCCCCGTCACGCCCCCTCACTTGGCGATATCGGTTCATCATAGATGTCACCTTAAAGGTTACGGCGCCTGTACGCGCCTATGCGTTTTTACACATTCCAGAATGAAGAGTTTTGCATGGATACGCGCGAAACCGCAGCGAGAGCGCAATCTGAAGAAGAGTTCTTGTTAAGGCAGGTGCGCGAAACACTAGAGGCTGAAGTAAACTTTGGCCTTAACTGCGCTTTCGCTCGGGTTTTAAACCTATTTTTGAAGAGGCTGCGGATCAAAACTTTATTTTAGAGAGAGTTCTGCAGGAAGTAAAGCTGAGTTTAGAACATTGACGTGACTTAGGTTTGCGTGAGGGTTTAGGACTGGGTTGATGCTGGAGGCCAAAGCCCAAAGCTTGAATGGCGCTTTTGCTCAGGCCGCCCTCGCCGGTTGTCCTAACTCGCACAAGAGGTTTGCACGTCCTGTGGCTTTTCGCCACAGAGCTTGCCACACATATATATATATATATATACAAATACATATAGCATGAAGACGTCTTCTCCCCCCCCACCCCCTCCAACCCCCACCCACAAACAGCAAGCAAAACAGTAAACCCTGAGCGGCAGCTGCAGCAGCAGTAGAAAACCCGTAGCGGCAGGAGTAGGACCAGCAGTAGATGGGATGACGACGTCATCAATGAGCACATCATTATGCAGATGTATGGCATCAAGACGTCATCATTCCCCCCAACCCCACCCCCAAAGTGCGGCAAACGAGGGTAATGGAGCCTAGAGCCAGTACGAGTCCAACAGCCTAAAGGGTAGCAGGCAGCAGCCTAAAGGGCAGCAGGCCCGTAGTAGACCTAGTACGAGTCGAGAAGCTTAGAGTAGAAGATGACGTTATTACTCCCCCCCCACCCTCCCCCCCAACCCCCCAATAGCCTGAAATGTGCAAAAACACATAGGCGCGTACAGGCGCCGTCACCTTAAACAAGCCCCCGCATTTGACGATAACGGTGCATCCATCTGAAGTATACCCCGTTGTTTGGGGATTCCGGGTCCTCATGCATGTTAAACACGACCCCTGATTTGACGTTTCCGGTATATCATGCATCTGAAACGTGCCCCCTCTTTTGGCAATTCCGGTTCATCACACATGTTAAACACAAACACACACACACACACGCCCCATTTAGCGATTCTGGTTCACCGTATATCTTAAACACGCCCCCTCATGTGTCGATTCCGGTTCACCATCTATCTTAAGCATGCCACATGTGGCGACGACAGCTCATACTCATCATATGTCTTAAACTAAACACGCCGCCCCCTTACTTGGTGATTCCAACTCATCACATATCTTGAGCATGCCCCGCATTTGGCGATAACGGTAACGGTTCATCACATATCTGAAGCACCTGATTTGGCGATATTCATCATATATGTTAAATGCGCTCATTTGGTGATTCCGGTTCATCAAACATCCTGAACACACCCCTCATTTGTCGATTCCATGTGGAGATTCCGCTTCAGCACATATCTTAAACATGCCCCGTCATGTGGCGATAACGGCTCATCATACATGTTAAGCACGTCGTCATTTGCCGATAACGGTTCATCATGCATTCTAAGCATGCCCTCATCTGGCGATAGCCGGTCATCATACAATGTTAAACACGCCCCCTGATTTGGCGATAACGGTCTATCCCATATCCTAAAGTCCTAAACATGCCCTCTCCTGTGACGACAACGGTTCATCATACATGTTAAACACACTCCCTCATTTGGCGCACGTTTTAAACACGCCGCCCCTTATTTGGCGACTCCGGACCAACATAAATCTTGAACATGCGCACTCATTTGGCGACTCCGGACCAACATATATCTTCAACATGCCCCTTCACCTGGCGATATCGGTTCATCATACATGTTAAACACGCCTCCTCGTTTGGCGATAACCGTTCGTCATATATCTTACAATTAAGCACGCCCCCTCATTCGGCGATAACGGTTCACCCATACATCTTAAACACGCCCCCTCATCTGGCGGTGTTCTCATATGTCTCAAACACTGGCAGGCCGACTGACCGACTGTCCGATTGACTGACAGACCGGCGTGCTCGCGTACCTACCGACGGCCCGACAGACTAACTGACTGACCGACTGACTGGCTGATGCTCTGCTAATGATCGCTGCATGAGACTGGACATTAGGGAGACAGAGCGAAGAGGGGGTGGCAATAGACCCCTATCCGAAAACGATGGGGTCTGTGCGCGTCATAGGGGTCTATCCCCAAGGCATAGACCCCTATGTATAGGCCCCTATCCCACCCAAGGGACGCCCCTAAGCATAGGTACGTATCCGATTCCCTGTAGACCCCTATCTGTGGGGGTCTATGGCCTGGTGGGTAGGCACGAGGGGTTAGGGGTCTATGCCGTTTCATATAGACCCCTGTCCGATAGGGGTCCATCCATTTTCGATAGGCGGCTACTTTCCTGACTCTTACTCCTCCCGAGTGCACCCAAGTCGGCCGGCCATGCGGTCTCAGGCTGGAGTGCCACCAGTCAACTGTCTGTCTTTAGAACAAAATAAGACTTAAGCATTGATACACGACTCCGGCGCCCAGTGCAAACAACGTCCGCAGTTTTGCAAGCTTTGCGCCGATCGCCCGCCCCGGGGCCCTCGATCGGTGTATTTCGGTTTTCCCGTCCCCTTATGCGGTCACACTGAAACATTGCACCTGGGCATGAGCTGAGAAGGGCAAGCAGCACTCCCCATGGCTTAGCAGGGCCCCCCGATGCTTCCGCGCCTTGCGACAGGTCAAGATGCAAATCACTGCTGCACAACCCAGTGTGTCGGAGTAGTCTAAGCATCAGACTCTGGCGCAATTGAACGAGAACCTCGCAAGCGAAGCAGGAATACTGGATTCTGTTTTGACCAGAAGCACTGGTGAACCCCTCCACTCCCAGGGCCTCGGTCGCAAGCTGCAGACTGGGAACACGGGGAGGCACGGCCACGGCCTGGAGAAGGCGCACCCAAGCGACCCGAAGGACTCAAAGATTCTGAGGGCAATACGACGGCGGGCAGGGCTGCTCGGGAGTTTTTCTGTGCTTCTTCCAAGTAGGCAAAGGCCTGACAACTCACAGCCAAAACTACATGTCGTTTGCTCAATCGTCAGTAGGATGACCCAAGGTGACGGGAAGCATGACCAAGTCGAGAAAGATAGAACTATCCAGGCAGCCTGCGAGATGTAACCATCAAACTCTGCGCGGCTCTGGCCACCTGCATGCTGCACAGTCCGAAGAGGCATCAGGGGGAAGCTTGCCACAGCGGGAGCATCCGACCTGGAATCTGATCGACCGCAGTCACGGCCGAAGCATCAAGAACTCCAGCTTCAACTTGCCGCTCGGATGTCAATTTGTCGACATCCCCAGCAGTACGACCTGCACACAGCAATCTGCACTTCGGCTGTCGCAAATTCTGCACAGGGGCCATGGGTCTTCGCCTTCGCCTGACTCCGCTTTGACGTACAGAGTGTCGCTAATTCCTGAGGTCTTTGACAGTCACGGCCAGACGGAGCTTGCCTTTGCACAAGCGTCCTCCAATGCCCGCTGGCGGGGGATTATTCGAGCGACGCCTGGGTTGAAATCCAACTTGGATGGACCCAAAGCACAATCAATTCAAACTTGCGTGACCCAGCCTGGGGGTAGCCTCCAGGTACGAAGAGCCAGACCCCTGACTTGTTTCGGAGGATGCATCGAAGCGAGAATGATGCAAGAACATAAAACTGGAGTGCACGAGCCTCCAGGGTGTCTATGCTCCTAGCACATCGTTCTTCTTGCTTCCGGCAGTATCTAAGAAGTGACGCAAACATGTAAACTACTGTAAACTTGCTAGCAGCAGAAACAACGAAGCAGTGTATCAGAATCGTTGAGCTGCGCTGCTGGTCTTTCACCCGGAACGAACGCGAGAGAGAGAGAGAGAGAGCACACGTTCGACAATAACAACATGGATTCATACAAGCTGTGGGTATGATCCGATAAGCACATCCCATACATACCGGTACATGAAACTCCTTGACGAGAGAATTGCATACAAGATATTCCGAGTCTGCTGGTGATGTCAACAGACATCAAGCGACAATGACCTGTTAATGTTTCACTTGGATAAAGACTCTTTACTCGGGCTCAAGCGCTCCGGAATGATCAGTCATAACAGCAAGCAGAGGAGTAAGACATGTACACAAAACTCCACTCCGCTCACCGTTCTCGACACGGAAAGGGAATCAAAGATTACCACAGCAATCTCGGCATGGCCTGATGGCCTTCACAGCATTGTTCGTTCTGATATGATAGCACTGCCTATTGCTATGGTAAACCTTGCATGTCGCGGAGGTCACGAACAACTCCTGACGTGTGGTCCGCCTCGAGCGCTCCTCCTCTAGCTGCACAGACAGCCTTTCTATGGTGTTCCAGCGATTCTCACTGAGCGCCCGGAGATGCATGACTTCAGAGTCACGCCTAGCGGTCGTCTCACGAAGACGATCTCGATCAGCATTGATCTCCTCGATCATGACGCGGAGATCGTCAACTGTGGGAGCAGTGGTTTCTTGACCAGTAGCGGCAACATCACCTTCGCCGATAAAGGCTTGATCCACTTCCATGTTGTCAGCATCGCCGCCGTCGTCGTCGACATCCATGTGCGTAGTTGTAGTCGTGCTCGCGCTTCGGAAGCGGTGCCTCCACCATAGACGAAGTGATTGACAAATCAATCTTTCTGTGATCACCACCGTTGTGATCACTATCACCAGCCACGTCCAATCATCACCGTTGGTACTCGTCGTCGATGAGGAGGAGGAAGTCGGAGTCGCAGTAGAGGACGTTGTAGTGCTCGATGACGTGGTAGAGGTAGGTCCGAAGGAGCTCGCCGAAGAAGTCGGCAACGTAGAAGCAAACAGCAAAGCCGTCCAGAGAAATCTCTTTCTTGTTGTTGCCATGTAAGACGTAGCTGCCAGTGTGGCAACCTCACGAAGAAGCTGCTTGTCGGTCATGTCGAAGTGCTTCTCTTCCACCGTCGCCAGCCGTGGGAGAGCTCGTAAAGTCATCCTGTGGTCGCCTTCGTTGAAGAACTCAACCTCGCCGCAGCTCAAAAGCTTCATCAATGGTGGCGAGACCATAGACTTGGTCAGAGCATCTGCAGTCATCGATTGAGTAGGACACAGTATCATATACCTGAGTCGCCCCATCATTCTGGCTTCTCTGAAGGCCAGGATATAGAGTCGTTGATTCTTGTCCTGGGGCACCGACTTGTCACCACTGGCAAGCTCAAAGAAGTCCCTGCAGTCTGTGTAGGCATCGACCGGCAGTTCGGGGATGCCTTGCTCTTGCGTGGCAATGAGGGATTGGAAAGTAGCCTTGCCAGGAAGGTACATGAGCTCGGCCAGTCGTACCGCCACCAAAGTGCTGGCCTCAAGACCAGAGATGGCCGCCAAAGTCTCCGCGTGAGACGTAGAGTAGCTTATCCGCTTGGCCTTCGCGCCATGGCCCCACAAAATGTGGGCTCGTCCACCAAGCAGCTTGGTCTCGTAGTCCTCCAGAACATGCTCATCGTCCCGACTGTGCTTTAGGAGCTTGTCCTCGCATAGCAACACGAGCACTCCTTCCTGAGCGTAGTTCCGGACATTGCCAGCCGCGGAGGAATCATGTATGCAGGCCAAACGAAATGGCGGTCGCATGAACCGGTAATGCAACCCAACGTTCTGGTTCATCTCGGCCTTTGCCTTCTTGACGACATTGTTGGCTTGCCTCAGGTGGCCCACCTTGGCCCTGGTAACTTGAGACTGAAGAACGCAAACATCGGCAACCAAGTCCAACCTCGTAGCCGTCAACCACAACAGACCCCCCAGGATGCTCCTGAAGTTGGTAAGCTCTTCCGAAGTCAGGGGGTCCTCGTCAGAACGACTAGGCACAGGAGCTGGCTTGAGTTTGTTGCAGAACTCATCTTGCGACATCCTGATGCCATCTTGTGTTCTGCTGTAGAGCACACCGCAGTGTGTGAAAGGCAACTTCTGACGAGTGACCTTGCCGAACTTTGCCACCAGAAGGGCATACTGCTGATCAAGCCATTTGCGTTTTCCAGCAGCGCCACAGTCATCCACATGAGTGGTGACCCCTGACGTGTAACCGTCCTTGGCGTCTCTCCAGTAGAAGTAGTTCTCGTCCATCAGCGACGGAGTGCCCTTCTGCTCTTCAAAGTGGTTGTGCAGACACAATTGCCAAGCCAGCGGTGCATCACTCAGGCCGTACACAGGCTTCACACAAATCAAGACAAAATCCATCACCTTGGACACGTCAATCCTGAAGCGCTGGTCGAACTTGGCCAGGTGACGCCAAACATTGGCCGGCGCGATGATCGCGACCTTGCGCACTGGGGTCTTGATGCCGCGGGCCATCAACAGTTCTCTCACTTTCTCGAATGTGAGTCCTTTGAGAAAGGCACCTGAGATGTCCCACGACTCCAGGTCGCTGTCTTCATGGATCACCGAGGTGGAGACGAGGATTCGTTGAGACAACCTGGTAGCCGTAGCGCTTCTCGTGCTCAGCATGTCCTTCTGCTTGTCGAAGCACCCGCGAGCGCACAGCCTTGACTTCACCTTCAGCCGTCCATCAGGATACCGTTTCCATTTCCGGATCCACGTGGCATCGATAATGATGGTGTCCGAAGTCAGAGCGTTCCGGTGCGACTTCTCAAACGACTTTGTCTCCACAAACTGTTTCACTTCATCCTCGTCCGCCTGTTCCACTTGATCCCAGATGGGATAGCAATCTTCCTCGGAGATGTTGTCTGTCTCTTCATCAACCTTGTACACTTCAGCCGTGCGCAGACATGCCATGAGCTCTTCCGAGGTCTTGCCAGGCCAAGTGAACAGGTATCCATGAGTAGGTCGCGGCTTTTCGTCCACATCGCCACATCTGCTCATGTAGATGTCCCACTGAGCCATGTACACGCTGTTCTCAAGGGCCTGCCATATGTCCGGGTACTCAGTAGGGACTGATTGAGTCCATCGCATCACCCAGAAGAGGTTGATGAGGTTGTGCTGGGCCTTGGTGTGCACTTTGTTGTCACCGATCAGCTGGTAGAGGATCTCCAGCTTGCTTTTCTTTGTCTCAGGACCTATGGTCACTGTCCTGCTGTCTGGTCCTTTCCTCTTGTTGTCATTGATGTTCTCAGGAGGCTCTACTGACATAGGAGTGTCACTTCCAGCTGTTGGAGCCGACGTAGTCGTAGACATTGGGGACATCGAAACATCTCCAGCACCTGTGGTCGTGCTCCTTGGTGACATCACGTCGCCACCCATGGTGGTGTCCGTATCATCAAATCCTTCCGAAGGAATCACCGTGCTGTTCTTGTCTGGCTCAAATTGTTGGAAGACATAGTAGTAGACGTAGATCATAGAGATGCTGTCCAATGGCGACGCGGTGATCTTTTTCATCACAATCACCTCGTGGTTGTTGTGCTCATGACAGCTAAACCCGTTCTGACCTCTTGTCCAATACAGAAGAACTCCGACGGTGTCGCGAGGTGGATGCACAGTTCTGACGCTCTGTGCCAGCATGGCCCCACCAACATTTCTCCGTGAGAGTGCTTTCCCCACGGATTGCACCATGGTCCATGTCTTCTCGAAGGTCAGAGAGCTCGTAGATGATCGTCGCCAGGACAGCAGGTTGTCCTTCTTGTCCACAATCCAGCCGACCGTCACAGCCTTGTAGGGCGACAACGTTTCCACCAGGTCACGGAGAGATTTGAAGTCATCCTCCTGTTGATGATTCAGTGTGACGAAGACCCCGGCCTGGTGTGGCCTGATGTGGCGCAACGACACCAAATAGGGCCTACCTTGGTAGGACAGGATAGCGGTCCCCTCAGCACGATCCAGCTTGAGAAGCTCGGCCGGTCCGCGCCATCCAACATCACCATTGACTTCTCTGTAGTAGTCCACCATCGTGGTTCCGGGGATCATCTCCTCGAGGCGCAGTTGATGTGTCCTTGTCCGATTGGCCCGGGCTACTCGGTCTTCTGCAATTGCCTTCTGGACCATGGACAGTGACATCTGACGAATGCGCAATGCCCGTTCGAAAGGAGTGATGTCAGTTTGCAGGGCCCCCGAAACCGACATGATGTTCGAGCTGTCCTCCTGGTAGAAGGGTCGAGGCAGCACTCCAAAGACGGACATAGAAGGAGTCGCCCCATTATAATTTAAACTTTGGTTCTGTGCCATCGCGCTCTCCCTTGCTAACTCGTGCGGCATAATCTTTATGCCCTGTCTGTCGAGTTCAGCTTCGAGCTTGTGCATCGTCAGCTGCATGAGCCCCACATGCCGTTCTACCAAACCAGTACCAGTGTGTTGCTTGCCGGCATCACCAGAGGTTGTACCCTTAGGTATACGATCTATGCCGAATCGCTCCAGTTCCCTGCCGGCTTCATGCGACATCATCCCTGTTTCCTGATCCATGATGAGTTGCATCGGTGCACCATAGACAGTGAACCAATGTTCCACCATTTTCCTGGTGATCTCAGAGAATTCTCTCGATGTGACCGAGGAAGCTGCCTTGTACCGAGTGGCCTCGTCGATGATGAGGAGGATCCATATCTCCTTGTACTGGAAGAGATCTGCTTGAATCCTCGCATTGAACACTCCAGCACCGGCACCAAGTTTCACTTGCGGCCTGTTGGGCAGTCGAACGTACTTCCTGCATATGGAGCATGACATCACTGCCTCCTCAGCCAGGGGAAGCACATCCGACGACAAACCGGCTCGAAGCAG